TGCAGGGCGGCCATGGGGAGTCCACTCTGTCTGTCTGTCCTGCAGGGCGGTCATGGGGAGTCCACTCTGTCTGTCTGTCCTGCAGGGCGGCCATGGACAGCTTTACTCTGTCTGTCTGTCCTGCAGGGTGGCCATGGGGAGTCCACTCTGTCTGTCTGTCCTGCAGGGCAGCCATGGGGAATCCACTCTGTCTCTGTCCTGCAGGGCATCCAGTTGCTGTGGTTTTCAGTAGGGTTCACAGTGCTGCTCTGAGAGGAGGCAGGGGGTGGGGGGTGACAGGGAGAGAGGGGAGCAAGTGGGCAGAGCCCCTGGATGCGTATGTGGGAACCAGCCAGCAGGCTGGGCGGCTGGAGCAGAGCCCTAGGGAGAGGTGGGCCATAGGCCAGCCAGGAAAGGTGGGCAGATGGTGCAGTGACCTCGGTGCACACCACTGACACGCTCAGCTGAACACGGAAAGAGTGGAGTTTCAAGTGCCCCTGTGGGGTCTCAGACTCCCCAGGGCAGGCCTCATTTCTCCATGTGGGGTCCCCACTGTGGGGTCTCAGACTCCCCAGGGCAGGCCTCATTTCTCCATGTGGGGTCCCCACTGTGGGTCACAGAGACTCCCCAGGGCAGGCCTCATTTCTCCATGTGGGGTCCCCACTGTGGGGTCTCAGAGACTCCCCAGGGCAGGCCTCATTTCTCCATGTGGGGTCCCCACTGTGGGTCACAGAGAGTTCCCAGTTCATCACTTCATTTCCCTATGTGGGTGTCCCCAAAGATGAGGGGCCACACAGACCCCAGCACCCAGCTAGAGTCTGAGAGGTATTCTCCAAGCATTGCAGGGTGGCCCAGAGGCTACAGCAAGGGGGAGGGAATGGACAGGCTCAGGCAGGGGGCCCTGCTGGCGGGAGCAGCGCACGCGCCCCATGCTCCCTCCTGCTCGGGCGCACTGCTGTGTACCTGTCTCTACGCCTGATTACTTAATTGCTACCAGCAAAGTGTTTCTCTAAATGTCGCATCTGCTAACAAGGGGCGGTCTTTGCAGCCGCAGCGCTGGCTGCCGTGAGAAGCAGTAAAGAAGAAGCTGCGCACACACAAAACTGCCCCTGGCCGGACAGGCTTGCCTGGACTGCAGTGTGGGGCCACAGGGGGTGACCCCTGGCAGCCTCCTTCCAACCCTCCCCCCACCCTCCCAGCTCAGGTGGTTTGTTTTTTCTCGATGGAAGGTTGGGGTGAGGCTCTCCGCATCCTTGTCCACAACAGCCCCTCACTTTGCGTCTCTGTGCCCCATGCCAGCCACCCTCGGAATGTTCCCGGCTTTTTCTTCATACTACGGCACATTTGAAGGAGGCCCGGCAGTGCTGTGGGTTAGGTGCTGGGCTCTCATGCCAAGTCCACACCCACAGCCCACGCGGTGTCTTCAGGGCGCCAAGGCCAGGCCGACAGAAGACCTCCGCATGCAGAACAGACGGGAGGGTCCCGGCCACCCGGGCCACCCTCTGTCCTGGAGCCTCAAGGAGACCCTGAAGGGGACCTGCCCACGTCTCCCTACCCTTCCCCGCCAAGTGCCCCCCCCCCCCAAAGCAGGCACTCTCCCTCGCCCTCCTGGCCCTCACCAGCCTGTGTTAAACTCCACGTGGGCATCAAAGAAGCCAACGACCGGGGCGGTGGCCGCCTTCCAGCCCTGCAGCCGGGCCCGGGTCAAGCCCTCACGCCTGCTGTTCCGGACGATCTTCACGAGGCCGGGGTACCGCTTATGGACGTACTGGTCCAGGTTGAACTTGAGCTCCACTGGAGGGAGAGGCAGCGAAGCATCAGCCCATGGCCCCTCAGGGAAGGGTCAGCAGAGCGCTGGCTCCCCTGGGCACCTGATGAGGCTGGCCAGTGTGAGCCGGAAGCACAGGAAGGGGGCCCGGCACACGGCCATGAAGCAAGCAGCTGCACTGGGGGTGGGGGCTGGGGGTGGGCTCCGAGCCCAGGGGCCACAGACACTCAGAAAGGCCCAAGCATGGACGTGGGGCTCCTGGCATCGGGAGGAGAGTGACAGGTGCAGGGAGAGGAGGCCTTGTCTGTAGGCCGGAGCCAACATGGCCTGTCTGGAGAACGGGGTGGGGTGGGGCGCTGAGTCTGGGGCCTAAGCAGTGGAGCCCCACGTGTTCCAGAGAAGGGCTTCCCCGGGGACTTCCCTTGTGGTCATCTTCACGGAAGCTGATCACCTGGCCTTTCTCCGAGTGGACTGGAGCCTCCCCCATGGGACTAGGAGCTGCATGGTGGCCCCTCCAAGAGACAGCCTGGAGCCCAGTATCCAGCGCCAGGCCCGTCCCCTCACCATTGTCACTGTTGTCGTCGACCAGGATGACCTCTTTGAGGAGCTGGGACGGGGTGTGATTGACCACGCTGTGCACTGACCGCAGGATGACCGAGAGGGCTTCGTTGACGAAGATGAAGACCACGGAGATCTGGGGCAGGCCCTCACGGTAAGACATGTGTCTGCACCTGAGGGCAGGTGGAGTCAGGTCAGCTGGGGCATGAAGGGACACAGGAGTCCCTGGAGGGGTCTCCCGGGCCAGCCATGCACTCGAACTGAAGGAGGGGTGACCATGAGAGGGGAGAATGGAGAGGGGCACTCGTCTGGAGCCAGGAGGGAGGGGATGCGGGGCCCCAGCGCCTTGGGCTCTGAGAAGCGACTCCCCGAGCCTTTGGGTATGCCAGTGAGAGAGGCAAGGCGTGAGACCCCTCCCCACCAGGCCTCGGCAGCCACTCCACCATCACCTGGAGGTGGGTGTCCACTAGAAGGGGGGCTCATGAGACAAGGGAGGGGCCTGAAAGCTGGAAGAGAAGCCTATGAGATGGAGGAAGGGTCTGCGAGGCAGAAGGGGGTCCCGAAGATGATGGGGGGTCCACAAAGTGGAGGAGGGCCCACGCACAAAGGAGTTGCCCGCATGATGGAGCACCTGCTCCTGCACGTGGCATTTCTCGGGGCCTGGATGATAAGCAGACACGTAAGTGGCCAGGGCTGTGATGCAGGTGCAGCAGGTGACAGGCTCAGATGGGCACTGGAGGACCGCAACAGCAGCGGGGGGGAGGCGTCCTCAAGGAGGGGATGCCTGAGTTGGGATGAAGCGCAAAGGCCACCCAGGATAGTGCTGGATCAGAGCAAGTGCCAGCATGGCAAGGTGGGGCGGTGCCCACCCACTTCTGTGATGACCCAGCAGAGAGAGCATCACGGGGAGTGTCTGGCAGCCTGGACCATCTCCTGCTCTTGGAGTCCCGAGGCCGGGGAGCTCAGAGGAAACTGAGTCGGCACTATCTCGGGAGGGCACCCTTCACATCACACACACACACACACACACACACACACACACACACACGCATGCGCGCACGCCTCCTGGTTGAGATGTGAGCTCCAGGTCGCTGGCTCTTCCATTGCCAAATGCCAATAGCCTTTAACTACTGGTCTCGGCGACACCTGCAGGTCCCACTGTCCCAAAGGTATGATTCCTGCAGCTCTGGGTTGGTCCTGTGGTCCATGGATGGACACAAAATTTCTAGTCTGCTGGCCACTTGGGATGGGGGAAGGTGGGGAGTGGGATGACGCCCCAGAGGCTAGTGGGACACTGGATCTTCTAGATAAGCTCCCAGCTTTTCAGTCCACCTAGAACAAGGCTGGGAATGGAAAAGGGTTCCCAAATTGGCTCCCACATAAAGGTGATCTGTTGTGTTTGGGGTTTGCATATGCGAGACATCTAGAGGCTTGTCTGATTCAGGTGTGGCTTGATCAGGGCTCAGAGCACATCAGCAGCAGGCACGCCTCTCTTCCTACTCTTCTCAGCTCCGTGCTGCAGAGAAAGGGCTTAGTCCCAAATGCCCTCTCCTCACCCATGCCAAGTCCAGGAGGAACACACCTCCAGTCTAGGACACGCCTCTTGTCGCAGCATCCTTACGTCTGATTGGATGAGGAGCCCTTCCGTGAACCGCTCGCTATGGCCTGGGACAAACAGGATTGGCTTGCATCATTCCTGACTCTGGAACTGTGGGACTGAGGCAGCACGGAGACCACAGGACACGAAATAGCAGAAGCAACAGGGCAGTGGGAGTCAGGGGTCAACAGGTGTCTACCAGGCTGGGGAGCAGCACAGGTTGGCTAGATCTGCATTGAACCCAGCGAGAGAGATGGCTCTCTGAGCTCAATCCTCACCTCCGGCTGGAGGGACTGGCCGTGCATGTCTGCCAAACCCAGCCAGGGATCTGGACCATCTAAACCTGCCTGCTCCACACTCTCCCTTCTCATCCCATGGACCGCCTGGCTGGGCCACCTGGACTGGTGGTGTTGGCAGGTGATCCCTCCCCTGCTTCAGCCTAGAAGAAACCTTTCCCAAGAAACCATGCTGCGCTGAGTCCTTCCCACAAGAACACACCGGCTGGGCTCACATCTGTTACAGGTCCAGTGCTGAGCCAACCTTTCTGTCAGGACAGCCCATGTTCAAAAGGACTGTGTCCACTGCCATCCAGGTGGTCCAACTCACAGTGGCCCTGCAGGACAGGGTAGAACTGCTTCGTGGGGTTCCTGAGTGTGTAAATCTTTGTGGAAGACGATGACGGCCTCATTTTCTCCCGAGGAGAGGCTGGTGGGCTGAACGCCGGCCCTGAAGCTTGCACCGCACCAGCCGGGCTCCCTGGAACATGGACAGATGAGTACCAGGCCGGTCACACAGCGAGCACCTCTGGATCTGGATCAGAGGACATTCTGTGTGTCACGGATCAGACCAGCCAGACCCAGCATCTGTGTGAGCACGCACATGCTCCTGGGCGGAGCCGTGGCTGATGAGTGGAGCAAGCTGGGGGCTGGCCTGAGTAGCCCTGTCTCAGGAAATGAGTACCCAGGCCTTTCCTCTTAGTCCATCTTAGTCTGGAAGCTCCTCTGAAATGTGTTCCACACCTGAGCTACAAGCCACCTCCCTCCACTGACAGACAGACGCCAGCTAGCCACGAGGTGTATTGGCTGGAGACTGCACAGAGCCTCCTGCGTGCATGGTGAGAATGTTGCCACCGTTACGGACTGGATTGTGCGTCCCAGAGTATGTGTCAACTCCGCTTGGCCATGATCCTCGGTGAACTTACCCTCCACTCTGTGATCCGATGTGATGATCTCATGTGTGGTAAACCCTCCCCTCTGTGACAAGAGTGAGGCAGAAATGGAGGCGGCCATGTGCGTGAGGCAGGATGGCATCTACAGGGCTGGGCTGAACCTTGAGTCAATTTCTGGAGATATACAGGAGATCAAACACGTGAGCCAACCCTTGTCTGTCAGTTCATCGTGTTGTGGCGGCTTTTATAGCTGGGAGGCGGGAAACTGTCGCTGGGAATTCAAATGGCAGCAGGGTCGCCAGAGTCAACAGCGTTCAGCGGAGCCTCCAGATGAAGAACAGACAGTGACGAGGGACTTGGCTGCCCACTTCGGAGGACACCATGCACAGGGTGGACACACGGTCAGAAGGCCTAACGAATGGACGCAGCACTTTGTCAGAGACTGTGCTGGAGGACGGGCCCCGGGGTCAGAAAGCACTCGAAGTGTGACCGTGCAGGAGCTGCTTTCTCAAGGTCAGGTCCACCTCGGGAAGGTGAATGGAGCGCAGCTTGCGGGAGTGGAGCCTTCGGGACCTTCATTTGCGGACGGTCACAACTCAAAATGAGAAGAAACAGCTACTCCTAACTGGAACTTGGCATGGACGAAGTATGAATGCAAGAAAGCCGAAGGTTGTCAACAATGAAACGGAACCCACAAAGATCAATATCTGAGGCATCCGTGAGCGGAAATGAACTGGTTTGAGCCACTTTGAATCAGAAAATCACATGCTGGGAATGGCATTGAGTTCATTGTCAGAAAGGACATGTCAAAATCTACCTTGAAGTACAATGCTGTCTGTGATGGGATTGGACATACCCACGTGCAAGAGAATGCAGTTAATGCAACTATTATTCAAATTTACACACCAACCACAAAAGCTAGCGATGTAGAAATTAAAGAATTCTACCAACGTCTTCAGTCTGAGAATGATCAAATATGCAACTGAGATGTACTGATAATTCTTGGCGATTGGAATGCAAATGTAAACAAAGAGGAAAGAACAGAGTTGGGAAATAGGGTCTTGGTGACAGAATCACAGCTGGAGATCGATCACGTGATGGAATTCTGCACAACCGACTTAGTTGTTCATAGCAAACGTCTCTGGTCAACAACACTAAGGTGACGACAGACATGGACTTCCCCAGATGGATGCACAGAAGTCAGATGGACACTGTCTGTGGGAAAACACCTCAGGAAGAGATGTGACCCAGTGGAGCCTCGTGGCAGAAGGCCTGCTGGGCTGTGGGAGGACATTGAGAACAGCGTGCATGAAGAAAGCAAGAAAGAAAATGTTAAAGTGCATATCAGAAAAGACTCTGAAATTTGCTCTCAATCATAGAGTAGCTAAAGCAAATAGAAGAACCGATGGAGCCAAAGAGCTGAATGGAAAATTCCAAAGAGCAGCTCAAGAAGACCAAGTAAAATACTATAATGAAACGTGCAAAGACCTAGAGTTAGGAAACCAGAAAGGAAGAACATACTCAACACATCTGAAATGGAGAGGACTCGTGAAAACATCCAAGCCCCGAGTTGCAATATTAAAAGATTCTATGGGCAAAATATTGAATGATGCAGGAAGCATCAAGAAACTATGGAAAGAACACACAGAGTCACTATACCAAGAGGAACTGGTTGACGTTCTACCATTTCAGGAGGTAGCGTATGATCAAGAACCAAAAGTCTGAAGGAAGAAGTTCAAGCTGCACTGAAAGCATCCACCAAAAACAAGCCTCCAGGAACTGATGGACCAGCCATTGAAATGTGTCAGCAAGCTGATGGAGCTCTGGAAGCACTCACTTGTCTGTGCCAAGAAATCTGGAAGACAGCCACTTGGCCACCTGACCAGAAGAGATCCATATCTGTACCCATTCCAAAGAAAGGTGACTCAACAGAGCGCTCAAATTATAGAATGATACTGATATCACATGCAAGTGGAATTTTGCTGAAGATCATCTGACAATCGGCACAGCAGTGCATTGACAGGGAGCTGCCAGATTCAGAAGAGGACATGGAACAAGGGACACCGTGGCAGATGTCAGATGGATCTTGGCTAAGCATAACAGGAAGATGTATAGTTCTGCTTTAGTGACTGTGCCAAGGCATTTGACTGTGTGGACCATAAACTGTGGGTGGCCTTGAGAAGCATGGGGATGCTACAACATTTCCTTGTGCTCACACAGAGCTTGTCATGAATCAAGAGGCAGTGGTGTGGACATTTAAAACAGGAAATGTGTGCATCGGGGTTGTAGCCTTTCACCGTACTTACTCAATCTGTATGCTGAGCAAATAATCCAAGAAGCTGGGTTGTAGGAAGAAGAAGACAACATCAGGTTTTGGGGAAGACTTATTAATAACTAGTGATATGAAG